TATATATATATATATATATATATATATATATTTATATATATATATCACATAGTTAACATATACCACACAGGTTGTGTGACAGGTTATTACACAGGTAGTGACACTGAGGTTGAATTATTATTAGTTAGTTATTGCCAGTTGTTCAGTGTTATTTATTGAGAGTTCAGTAATCAGACAGCCTGTGGATAATAAATGTCCTTTAGTCTTTTTGTGCGCGATGGCAGACTCCTGTATCGTCTGCCTGAGGGTAGTAGATGGAAGAGTCCTTGTACTGGGTGGGTGTGGTTTTTAATGATGCTGCGTGCTTTACGCAGACATCAGCTGTGGTAGATGTCCTGGATGGTGTGGAGACTGCTACCAGTGATGTCCTCTGCTGTTTGCACCACCCTCTGTAGAGCTTTCCAGCTCTGACTGGTCCTGTTCCCATACCACCTGTGATGCAGCCTGTCAGCCAACTCTCAATGGTGCACCTATAAAAGTTGGTGAGGATGCTGGTGTTCATACCAAACTTCTTTAGTCTTCTTAGGAAGTAGAGTCTTTGTCTGACTTTCTTGACCACAGTGTCTGTATGTAACGTCCAGGACAGATCCTCAGTAACGTGAACACCGGGGAACTTGAAGCTGCTGACCTGCTCCCCCTCAATGTTCTTTATGTAGATGGTGAAGTGTTGGCGTACACGTTGTTTCCTGAAGTCCACTATCATCAATGATGAGTTGAAAAGGAGGTGTCGTGGACAAATTCCCGTCAACCTGGCGGCGGTGCTCAAGTACCTGACTGCCATGATCCTGAAGCTGGTGGGAAACTAGGCTCGTGACAACGGAGCCTAGGCCACACAGGACTGGGATCATCCTCTGGCACCTTCAGCTGTCTGTCCATGGTGATGAGGAGCTCTGCAGACTGCAGGTAGGAGTGACCATCGCTCAGGGAGGAATTCTGCCCGGCATTCGGGCAGTTCTGCTGCTCAGGAGGACAGAGAGGCCTGCCGGATCTGACAGCAAGCTGGATCCACGTGGACAGATCGATATCTGTGGCCAGATTCTTCGGATTCACTGCAGGAGATCCTTCCTGCCCACAGTTATCAGCATCTAACAACTCTTGAATGAAACCAGGATGATGAGCTACGACAGCAATTAATTTCCCTTTGGGATTAATAAAGTATATTTTTAATTGAATTGAACTGAATTATCAGTGAATGCAGGAGTAATATTAGTGATCTCATTAGCAGTGTTAAAGGTGGAAGATGTGAAACTGTAAACATTTTTTTTTACTCAGATTCAAGTTCAGTATTATTACTTTTAACACACAGTGATTCAGAAAGCAGGCTGGACATTTTATTGGAGATGCTTCAAGCATTGTTCAGAATACAAAGGATGAGTTTAACATTGGTATTTGTACATGTTGGATTAGGAGGGAATGAGATGGCAATTAAGAAGGGAACTCAAAATCACATTAACTTCAAAGTACATAGTCAGAAACAATCATCATCAAACAAAGACTGAAGAGAGAATGGATGAAAAGAAGGGATGGGGTACAGCAACAGAATTTTTTTTTTTACAGGATTCAAAATGAGATCTGGAAGAAGGTGCAAAAATTAGGAAAGATTGATAACACAACTAAGATTTGGAAAAACAGGACTTCACTACACATTTTTCAATATACAATAGCATAGATGAGCCAATAGAACAGTGTCTGAAATATGAATGGAAGAGAAAGCATATAATTTAAGGAGCAACCATAAAAAAATATAAAAACATTTTTAAAAAGCAAAACTGATTGTGAAAATGAAATTTGACTAAATCTTTTACTTTGTACATATGGTAACTCTAACTTGTCCCTAGGTGTGAGTAAGAGAGTGAATGTTTTTCTTGTCTCATTTGTCTCTTTGTGGTCTTGTGATGGACTAACCTGTTCAGAGTGTCCCCCACTTCTCACACAGTGATGGCTGGACATGCGCACCAGTGATCCCTTTACCCGAAAAGGAAGAAGCGGGCAAAGATCATATATATACTGTACATACATACATATATATATATTTTTTTTTTTCATACAAAATTTATATAATCTAAATCACTCTTTAGTCTGTTGCCTTCTTATATCTCCTCCCACACGTCATGTCGTCACTGCAGCTACAGCGTGCGCTCTCAGGCCATCATTACCTGCAGTTTCCCTTCAGTGCAGACTGAACTAGGTCAAAGGGCAGTGGTTAATTTGAGCCAGATCCTGCCGGAACAAGATCCGGGAACTCCCTCATTTTCACCGTGTGCGTTCCAGCAACTGTTCAATCGGATCCGTCAGCTCATATCTCCGCCCATAAAAATCTAAAATCATCACACATTTTTATTTTGATTATTTATTAAAAATACAACGAAAGGAGACGTCCATGTCTGTGGAGTGGATGTTACTGTTGCAGCAGGTGCAAAAGCTCGCGCACATGCTCCTGCTAGCAGAGACGCTGACCGCATGTCCCACAGAGATGAAGCGTCTTCATCCACCTTCAGCTGTGTCTCAGAAACCAAAGCAGCACAAACAAAAGTTTTAACTGCACAAACCAGCACAAATGCAGCACTAAACACTCATTGTATTTACTGGAATTTTTGACGTGAGTGGGGTGTCAGCTTCACCTGCTCAGCTGTGCGCCCTGCAGACAGTGCACTTTTTACGCACAGGAGCGTCTACAGACAGCTCTGCAGAGCGCACACAACTGCCAATGTGTCAGAACTCCTGCATACATTTCAAAGATAATAAATAAAAAAGCTTACAGTCAAAAAAAAAAACAAAAAAAAACGAGTGAAATGTTTTCTGTGTATTATTCACATCACGTTTCAAAATTAGTCAAGGATCAAAATGTCAAAAAGACCTGTTTTTAATCAATTTAATCAAATGTTTAGCAACCTGTTAAAATACACCAAAATGCAGGAAATGGCATCTCTTTTATTCCAAATTTTCTGGGGGAGGAACCACCGACCCCACCCCGGCTGGACCACCTGGTTTTTGTGTTCCAGCATCAAATTACAAATTAAGCCCTGCCAAAGGGCCTTCTCTGACTCTGCTCCTGTATCCTGGAACACCTTGCAAAAAGATCTGAGCTGTCAACTTTGATTTTTTAAAGAGATTTTAAACATTTTATTAAATCCTTAGAAAAATCTAAGCAAATATGTTTTTGTTTAAGTATTTACCTTGTTTTGTATGGCACCTTGATTTCATTTTTACACAGTGTTGTAATGTAACACAGTAGAAATACTTTGTTACTGTACTTAAGTAGAATTTTGACATACTTTTACTTTACTTCGTTATTTACATTTCTAGCGACTTTCACTTTTACTTCACTACATTTCCTCAAAAAAATGCGTACTTTTACTTCATACATTTCCCTTAACCATCTTAGTTACTACAATTTCAAATGAGAAGAAATCTGACTGGGCAATTCCTGCTTGTTCTCCCAGTCTGACTTCATGCGGCCGCTTCTCTCTCCCTCACTGACACTTCCAATCCCAGTCTCTCCTCCACCATTTATGTGAAACCTGCAGCTCCTGCTGTGAACAAGCTCGATGCATATACAGATATCAATCATTACAATAGAGCTTTGTTGACTCACAGTGGAGACACATTCCTGATAGGTGTGAAAATGACAGTAGCTGCGAAAAAGGAGAAGTTTGTTGTTCTCCAGGACGTGAACTGCTTCAAGAGCATAGGAACTATTATTTCCTACGCTATTATATTATCCTATAATATATCCCATATTATTATTTAGTCAGAAAGAAACAAGCCATAACCAAACAGAATCGAGCTCAGTAAACATGCCAGCTACACTGGACTTTCTAACAGCTTTGATAATAAATGTTAATAAAGGTTGAATGAATATACTTCATTAGAATCAGACTTTTTAAAGAGCAATCTTTCATTGTTCAGGTCAAACTTTCCAAGTTTTTGTCACTGGAAACCCCACCCAATAAATGTTGTTTTGGGAATTCTAACCATTTTTTTTTCTTTCTTTCTTTTTTCTTCTTTCGGCTGCTCCCTGCGTTAGGGGTCACCACAGCGAACTAAGTCGCACGAAGACTTGGCAGTTGTTTTTACGCTGGATGTCCTTCCTGACGCAACCACAGACCACCGAGCTACCACAGCCCTCTGTGTGGAGCAGAGAGCTGCTACACCCAGCGGAGCAGATGGTGGGGGTTAAGGGCCTTGCTCAAGGGCCCAGAGTGGGACAAATGAGGGTGGGGGTAGGTGTGGGTGCTTCACCTACCCCACCCACATTTTTGATGTTGTCGGTACCGGAGCTTGAACCGGCGATCTTCCGATCACAGGCTCACCTTCTCTAACCTCTTCACCACCACTCCCCCTTTTACTTAATACTCTTACTTTACGTACATTTTATAAGATAAATTTACTTTTGATACTTAAGTACATTAAATGTCCGATACTTTAAGACTTTTACTTAAGTAAGAATTTTAAAGGAGACTTTAACTTTTACCACAGTAATTTTATGGTAAGATACTTGTACTTTAACTGAAGTATCACTTTGAGGTACTTTATACAACACTGTTTTTACAACACTATTTTTTGTTTTTAATAGCTTTTTATTGTTGTCTGTACTTTATATGTACTTTTGTCTATATTCTGATTTACCTCATTTTGTATTTTGCTTTGTGGGTTACCTGTTGTTTTGTCTGTACAGCACTTTGGTTGGCCTTGTTGCTGTTACAAGTGCTTTATAAATAAAGTGGTATGGTATATGTTGTTTGACTAAAACAGGTCCCTCTTGAAAATGAATCCTCGTGACTCAGTGAAACTAACCTGGATGAATAAAGTTGAATGAAAAACGATGAAAGATGAACCAGACTTCTCACCAGTTGGGGGCGGTAATGCACCAAATAGTTTTCAAACCGCCAGAAACAAACACCAGAAGAAGAGAAAAACTCGCAGCAGAAGAAGAAGAAGAAGAAGAAGAAGTCGGCTAATATGGCGGCGCTGTGCAGACCGTCTGTGATTGTGGACACACTGTCTCTGGCTGTGAAGGTGAGCTCACCCTGCAGACTTTGTGTCGTAAAACCCAGTAAGAGCTCGTTGAGTCCAGAGTGTTTCTGAACCATCTGAAAGTCCTGCTCGGTTTTTGTCGGAACGGGCGTAAAGAAAAAGACTAAAAACAGTTTCATTTCCGACAGAAGGGAACGTGTCAGTTTTGGAAAGTTATATAAATGTTTGTATAAAAAAAATTAACACGTGATTAACGGTGTACAGCTTCATTTTGTGTTTAAAACCAAACGCAAACTTAAGCTTGTATTAGCTGCCCTCCAAAGAGGTCCATTTAGTGATCAGCCATAACATTATGACCACTGAGAAGTGAGGGAAAGAGCACCTGACTGTGGATGGAGTTACTCCACAAGTTATTTTATGTCATTAACTCGACTCCAACAGCTGAGTTTGTGATTTTTCTCCCTGGCTGGTCATCTCCTAAAGACATTAGTTTTTGTTTGGTTAGCTGGTTGGAATATTGGGACTCCATTGATTATTAATGGAAAACTACCCAGAATTGCATTTGTCATTTAGTTGTTTGCTTTTTGTTCTGTAGCCTGTTCATAATTTAAAACTTTAGCGCCAGGAAAAGCTGCTTGGTTTTATGAATGAGTAAAAATGCTTTTATACAACCTAATATGTTGTCAGTTTGTGTTTTCCACTACCTATTGTCCAAGTATCATACAGGTTGATCGTCATGTACTTTTCTTTTATCAACAAAATGTGGACCTGACAGTGACAATATAATTTTCTGCACAAATACATTTTTATGGTCACAAAGATTTATTACAAGTTATCAAATACAAATTATCTGATTGATTATATAACAACTGCAAAAGCTTCTAAACATTCACCAAAAAGGATTTGCTGAAAGTTTCGTAGCAGTTGTTAAAAATATTTAGAAATAATGTTTATTTTTATGACTGACTATGTTTCACATTGTTTAGTGGAAATTCAGGACATTAATTATCCAAAAACCTTGAATTTTAAAATTCTGTAGCTTTCCTATTTTTCCCCTCAGATACATAATTTTTGTATCATTTAATAGTTTTCACATAAACTTTTTATTTCGTTTTCTGCGGTTCTACTTAAACTGAGCCTTTTAAACCTCATCTGTCCTTCAAAGCTCTTGATAATCTGTTTATTTCACCCATTCACATGCATTGATTTGTATTTGGACTTTAGCTATTCTGGAGTTTTTATTTTTACTGATAGACTAATAAATATTTGAGTGGGGCAATGGAAGGGTGAACGTTGCCTTGCCCATAGGCACTTCAGCATGCTGTAGAGCAGAGAGGATCAAACCCTGCTCTTTTGATTGGAAGATGACTTCTCTACTGCTGCTTGTGCTGCAAGATCAATGAGCCAGTTACAAAATTCCTGAACCGATTCAGCACTTTGGGATACATTTAAGAAATATAAAAAGAAACACTATTTTGATCAGTAATGCAACTTTGCAAATTTTATTATTGTATATCTTTACCTCAGTTTGGTAGACCTCCTTCATACAATTGGAGGAAACTTCATAAAGAGATTCATTAAGTAAAGTGTGAACATTACAAATTTGATGTTTTTTGCAGTTTGCTCCATGCCGGTCCAGATGCTGTGCAGTGACCAGCCGAGCTCTGTATTCCACTGTTAATAATCCCAATGAAAAGGTAAAGCAGAACTCTGTTTCTCTTTCTTCCAGACTGACCGTGACAATTTATAATACAATCAGTAAACAATCAACTTATCAATGCGTTAAAGTATGTGGGTTACTCTTCTTTTGACTCTCGGTTAGCTAAGTAGATTTTGATGTTGAAGAAGTTTTGTCTGTTCTTCCATTACAGCTCTGAATAAACTCAGATGACATGAATTAAAGGTCAATTATGAAATATTTGTTTATTAGCTGATGACATTAACTGGTTCTTTGTGTCTCTGTTCTTGAATTACATTGCACCTTCTGGTGAAAATGAAAATCCTGGCTGTGCAATAAACATTTAAGGCTCCATTTTTAATCAGTATATGACATTATGATTTTACACTATAGCTGCATAGATGATCCCTCTTCAAACCACTATTAGTTGTTCACACGTCGTGAACCTATTTCAATGATATGACGTTTTTTGTCCATCGTAGACTGAATCTTTCTCAGTAAAAGCATTATAGGAAAATCTTTGGCTGCTTTAATTGGAAGTTTATGGTTGCTGTGCCACAAGATTACTAACAACCACTTCAGTACATTGACAACCAAAGACTAGTGTCGATTTTTATCATGCAGTGCCTGAAATCTTTTGAGGAAATTGTTCAATCTGGTTGCAGCAGCCCATGTTTTTTTCCCCAGCCACGAGTGCTTCATCATCAGTTTTTTTTGTCTCCTCCTTCTGCTCCTTTTAGAGTCCAAATAAAGTTATTGGAGCAAAAAACGTGCAGTCCAGCATCTGTTAAATCTGAAATTGTACAGTGTGACTCATTGCTGTCAGGATTTAATTGTATCGAGCTTAAACAGTGTGATGTGCACGAGTTCACACAGAGTGAGCTGGTCTTTAGAGGTTCAGTAGTGGATTGATCCATTTCACACGTTGATGTGGGAAGAAGAACCACACATTATAGACACTGATGTGAAATGAAGGCCCACAAGGCCAGTTTGTAACAGTTGTGTTTAAAGGACCACATTTCTGAGCGTTCTCACATTGACTTTTTCCTCCACAGACTTTTGATAAAATCCTTATCGCCAACAGAGGAGAAATTGCTTGCAGGGTAAGACTTTCCAGCTCACTGACATCTCAGGAAATTTTTTATATTGCTGCGTTTCTCTTCAACTCTTCTGTTCATCTCTGAAATTTGAGCTCACGCTTTGTCATAGAGGTGTCAGTGCATGAGCACTGAAGTGCCCTTGTTATTATTTTTGTCACAGTTTGTGTTGTTACTTGTGCATGGCTTTAACCAACGCTGCAGGAGGAGGAGAGAATCAGAAGTAGTGATGGAAATGGAAAAACGTTGGTTACGTACTGTAACCCCAGATTCTATGAATATAGGCGTAGCCCTTTAAGGCTGTCGCTGATGGTTTATCCCGTTATGCGCAGCATAAGCACTGAAAAAAAATTAGTCCACGCCCACCTGCTGTGTGGGCCCCACCCGGTCCGTATAAATTACGTTAAGAGCGGGAAATCGGCTCCCAAAATAGCTTTTTTCTTCAGCCATTTAGGAGCCAGTGAGGCCCGACGCTTAAAGGGCTACGCCTATATTCATAGAATCTGGGGTTACAGTACGTAACCAACGTTCTATTTCATATAGGCTTCGCCCTTTAAGGCTGTCGCTGATGGTTTAAGGGCGAAGCGGATGTGGTCCTCGCCTCACTGGGTCCATTCGAACACAGTAAGAAGCGGAAGCTTGCCCAAAAAAACGTCTTGTCACTCAGCTCCCCGTGTGCATAAACTACGCATCGCGTAATTATGTGCCATGCACAGACGCATGTTGTGTAACTATGCGTTCTGACAAACATGAATACCCCGGAAAAACTTTCAACGGGAAGAGGAAGTTTAAAAGAGGGGGGGGAGAAGGGCATGAACCAACTGGTTCATGGCTGAACAGTATAAACAGATTAATGTCCATGAATTGATCAATAATCAAATGAACTGATTGTTAACAATAATCATGAACTGATTAGTGACAATAGAACCAAAATCACAGACACGACTTGTGACTGATAACAACATCTCACACTGTAATGCATGCAGACAGAAGTGAGCTTAAACAGAGTTCCATGAGAACAACAATATTCATTCTGTTAGGGCACTAAGGACAGAATGTGTCATGGAACGAGCCGTTACATCACGTAGGTAAAAGCGAATAAATGAGCAGGGTGTTGACCATGCAGCCGCAGTGCAAATGTCCTGCATTGGCATACCATTATGCAGAGCAGTCGAAGATGCGATACCCCTGGTGGAGTGTGCTTAGAGGTTGACAGGAGGCCCTAAATCTGATGCTCTGTAGGCTTCAGAAAAGGCCTCACACAGCCAGTGTGACAAGCGCTGGATGGATAACGGCGACCTGCAGAAGCATCTCTATAATGCACAAACAATTGTTGAATTTGAACGCATTGCAGCTGTGCGCGTTACGTAACACGTCAACGCCTGCACCGGGCAGAGAAGATGAACAGATGCTTCCCCTTCTGATCTGTGGGGGGGAAAAAACCCCTCCAACGATATCACTCTTGATTTAAAAGAGCTCGTGATGTTTTAGGCATAAAAGCTGGGTTGGTCTTAAAACAGCTGAGCTGCCCGTCAGCCTAATTCTAAGGCATGACGAAACAACAGAGAGGGCAGATAATTACTTACCCTCTTAGCGGGTGTTAAAACCAGCAACAGGGCTGTTTAAAAAGACAAGAATTTAAATGAAACCTGATCCAGAGGCTCAATTGAAGCTTTGATCAGGGCTCGCAGGACCAGCGTTAAATCCCACTGTGGAACAAGTGGGCATGAAACAGGCCTACATCTCTGTACACCTTTTAGAAACCGCTTCATCAGCGGTGATTAAAAGCTGTTCTGTCTCCAAACCCTTTGTGGCAGGAAGAGATGGCTGCAACGTACTTTAAAGCGTACTGAAAGCCAACTCCCTATCCATCAGGTGTTGTAGAAAAACAACACGCCGCCTAAAAGGCATGAAGTGGTCTCTAAACCTTCTCTGTACACCAACGCTGAAAAGCCGTACCCTTGATGTGTACAGAACTGTGGTAGATGCAGCACGTGAATCTTGAATTGTGCACACTATCTCCTGAGGGAGACCCATCCTCTAAGTGGGACCGCTCAGCGGTCAGACCCACCGGTGTTGACCTATTTCTGGGTAACTCTTGGTCGCTCCTCCTGCCTGAAGGAGAGCATCCTTCCTCCACGACAGTTCCACGGCGACCCCACAACAGACGTTGCAGGCCTGGGAACCATAGTGCGTTCACACGCCGGGAGCCACCAGGAGAGCTGTCAATCCCTCCTCCTGAACTCGGTTCATGGACCGTAAAAAACAGAGGAGGTGGGGGAAAAGAAACGCGTAAAAAGCGTTTTGGGCCACCGACTGTGAGCAAATGCGTCCCCCCCCAGCGATGGATCGTCTCGCGGGCTCAGGGAAAAAACCGTAGTTGACATTGCGCGTTCTTCTCGCGTCGCAAACAGGTCCACAGCTGCTTTGCCAACTTCTGCTGTGTCTGAAAACATCAGATCCGGATGGAGGATCCGGTCCACATAACGTGGGCCGCCCTTGGACGTCACATCAGCCCCTCTGTTCAGAACACCGGATATGTAAACCGCTCTAATAAAAGCAGGTTTGATGAACCCAACTCAGTAGCTTCCGCGCAATGTGTAACATCTGGGCTGAACGCACACCCCCCTGGCGGTTTATGTACGCAGCAGTCACCATGTTGTCTGTGTGAATCAACACGTGTTGATTCTGTAGCACGGGAGCAAAATGTTGAATCACATTCAGCACTGTGCGACACTCCAAAACATTGATGTGGGCTGATGTGCGGTGGGGCCACAGCGCCCCTACTGCTTGAGATAGGCATGTCCCCCCCCCCAACCTGACAGAGACGCGTCCGTGAAGACTGACACGTGACGTGGGTCTGCTGACGGGGACTCCCTCTGACAGAGCCAGGGTGTTTCCCCAGTGTCGGAGGTCTGCTCCCACGGAGGGAGGGACAGTGATCATCCGTCTCTTTTGTTTTACTGGATCCACACGCAGACGCGTAAACCACCTCTGGAGGCGTCTCATGTGTAACAAACCCAGCGGGACCACTGTGTGAGCTGATGACGTCATTCCCAACAGCTTCATGACGGAGACAGCTGTTACCACTTTGCCAGGTCTTACGTGGCGTAATTGGTTTTTAGAGTGTCGATTCTTGTTTGTGATAAACGAGCCGTCATGGTAATTGAGTTTAATTCCACTCCCAGATAACAATTGTCTGGGCCGGGAAAATCGAGCTCTTCTTCCAGTTATGGCGAAGCCCAGATTTAGCAGGTGTGATGCTAACACCTGAGCCTGTATCAATGCTTCCTGTCTGGAGTGAGACAGGGGCAGCAGGTCGTCCAGGTAAAACAAAACTCTCATCCCTGCTTGTGCAGTGGATGCAGGGCTGTCTCCACACACTTTGAGAACGTACGAGGCGCGAGGGAGTACCCAAAAAAGGCAACCTGTTGTACTGGTACTTCATCCCTTGAAAGGCGAAACGCAGAAATTTTCTGTGTTTTGGGATGATTGGTATGTGAAAATAGGCATCTTTTAAAACGATGGAGACAAACCAGTCGTTTTTCTGAATGTTGTCCAACAGCTGTCTGTTCATCAACATGTGAAAAGATCTGTTCATGATCGCTTTGTTGAAAGCTGACAGATCCAAAATCGGTCTCATCCCTCCGGTCCTTTTGGGGACCAGGAAGTAGAGTGAGTAAAAACCCTGTGTTTTCCTCCTCGTTGGGAACTCTTGAGATTACACCTTTTATCAGAAGCTCTTGGACTTCTGCATTTAAGGCTGAGACTTGGTCTGGTGATGACAGGACCGTCTCTATAACTCCTCCGAACGGAGGGGGTCGGGTTGCAAACTGCAGCGTGTAACCCTTGCATAACACTCTGTCCATCCATCTGTCCGGTGAGCATGTTTTTAACCACTCTGCGTGACGTTCGTGGAGTGGACGTGCGTTTAAATGATGTGCCGTGTTTTGAACGGATGTCATCCAAACCTCCGCCTCGACCGCCGTCATGCGTCGCGGAAATGTTTTCCGCGTGACCCAAGGCGAGGCTTTCTCGAAAGGGCTGTTCTGCGCGCGCCCGTGCGCTGTGACTAGATCGCGGACCAACCTTCATGTCCGGGCGGGGCGGTGTGCGCTGAGGCGAGGCGTGTGTCAACTGGTGACGTCGAGAGGCTGCACGTTTAACGTCGCTGTGCGAACGTTGAGAGGTGGAGGGCGTGACGTCATCAACGCCGTGCTGTCGAAGTGAAGGTTGTGAGCCTCGCGGGAGCGCACGTTTCCTCTGGAGGGACGCGCGCCGCTCTCGCTGAGGGCGGGGCCCGTCATTGGAATCATTCAGCTGTCTCACGCTTATGCCGCCGTGAGCTGCTGATCGCTGAGACGCGGTGGATGACGGCCACTCGCGTTCATTCAGGAGAGGCGTGTGTTGTTTTCGCTGAGAGCAGGGACCTCCACCGGACCCGGCCTGCGGTCCCACATTTATCCCGATGTGGGCCGGTGAGCGCCGGGCAGCTGTGCGTGCATCATCGACACAGTGCCGTTTGGATGGAGGCTGCTTGTCTCGCTCGGGAGCGCGTTAACACCGTTGGGAGGTGATCGTGCGGGTCTGATTGACAACAAGTTATTTCGCTTACCGTGGTGTCACGTGAGCGTCTGGGCATGTGAAGGAGCGGCGGTGGATTTAAAAAACCTTTATTTAAGGACACCGGCTCTTTATGAGTGGAGGATGTGTGTGTAGCGGCTGTGAGCTCATCCGAGCTTACAGACTGGCTAAAAACAGGCATTTTGATCTTTGAAAAATCATTTATTCAATTCCTGTGTCATTTATACACACATCCTCCGCAGACCGTCATTTCTTAAAACTTCTCCCCCGTGAACCCTGCGGTTGTTTGCTCCGAGCGCCATCTGCAGGCGATCTCTGGGGAAAACGCTGAAGTGCAGGCTGCCGGACTGAGGAGGGGTGGTCTCTGGCGGGCGGGGCTGGTGGTGGAGCTGGGCGAGACGAAGCTGCTGCTGCCGTGGAGCGTCGATGTTTCTGCCTCTGCTTTCGACGATCCCTCCAGCGGGCTGGGGGACGGAATGAGCCGCGCGGCTTGATGAGATGGCGTACAGCTTCCGACGTCTCCTCCGACTGCTTCGAATTCGTCAGCATGGACGTCAAGCTGCTTCCGAACAGCGCGTCCGATGAGATGGGGCCCTCCATCCGGTCTTTGTGCAGCTTTTCCGGCAGCAATGGAGAGTGACGGAGCCAGATGGAACGTTGGATTACCGTCATCCATGCTACAATCCTCGACAGGCAAACCGAGGGAGCGGCGCACATGTTGAGGATGGCGTCTGCCGATTACACAGGGAGCTCTTTGTCTCCTCCGGCAGGTCTGAGGCCTCCAGCCTTTTCGACATGCTAAATGCTAGCAGCGCATGTTGTTGCTAACTGCGGTTGCCTGAAAACACGCCGGTGGGCTCGATTGGAGAGCTTTGGTCGCCGTCTGGTTCCTCCGGAGGGACGGGACGCTGCTCCGACCTGGGCAGCTTCGCTCCGGAAGCTTCCGCGAGGCTTGGCTCCAGGGGAGGGAACCGAGGAATAGCGTCAGTTGCCTTACAGAAGGAGTTCTTTGTCTCCAAGGCAGGTCTGCGGCCTTCAGTCCCTTGGACATGCTATATGCTAGCAGCGCACGTTGTTGCTAACTGCGGCTGCCTGGAAAACACGTCGGTGAAAAATAACCTTTCCGCTGATCATCCGAACTGGCGGGAAAAGGCGAGGGACGTAGAAAAAAAGGGGTCCCTTCATGTCAGCCTCCTCCCGGGTTCCGCCGGGCAACCCCTGAGGGCGCTGTCGGCCGGGAGCGGTGTGATCGCCGATGCGAAAACGAGGTGGGATGGGGTGAGCATTCACTCAGCCCCCCTCCACCTACACTACGCTCCCCAGGAGGGAATGAGCAGCGGGGGCTGCAGCTGAGCACACCTTGCCCCGGAGGAACCATCCGGTTCGCCCCGAGGGTCGGCGATAAGAGGAAAAACACAAGATGGCGTTGTCCAGCGTGTAATGACCTGTCACTGGGAAATGTTCCCCGACGCTTACCTTGGAATAAGACTGCTGTCATCTTCTCCTCGGGGAGGAGAACTCACCGGACGACCGGAGGTCGACTGCCGGGCCAAGCATCTTCCGCAAAGGTTGGTCATTTACACAATTTATCTTCTTTGTTCTTCTGACAGTGCTATATTAGCTCGCTGAAGAAAAAATGGGAGCCGATTTCCCGCTCTTAACGTAATTTATACGGACCGGGTGGGGCCCACACAGCAGGTGGGCGTGGACTAATTTTTTTTCAGTGCTTATGCTGCGCATAACGGGATAAACCATCAGCGACAGCCTTAAAGGGCGAAGCCTATATGAAATAGAACATTGGCCAAGTAGTGAAATAAAGGTGGCTCAGTGTGTTTGTACTGGCACTGTTAACTGTCAGAATAAACTTTGTGCTGGTGTTCTTCCCCTCTTCAGGTGATCAAAACGTGTAAGAAGATGGGCATCCAGACTGTAGCTGTTCACAGCGATGTTGACACCAGTGCTGTGAGTCATAACTGCGTTTACCAAAACATGTTCTAGGCTGCAATTTAGTCCAAAGTTCTCAAAAATACTTTTAACTGAAATAAATACCCATGGATCCAAGGGGCTTTCCAGTTCTGTGTGCTAATAACCATTAGAGCAGGTTTTCTGGACTGGGTTGATGGGCATCAAAATGGATTGTCCATGGTGTCTTCATGGCATGAGGCAGCTCCTCCACAACACTTCCGTCCTGCTGTGGACAAGTCATTTGTCAAACTCGTCTTTAATTGTGTGGGAAACTAAAACATTTGTGGAAGCCAAAGTTTATCTCCCACCTTTTACAATCCTACAGTCCTTTTATCATTAAAAGTTACTTCATATAAGATAAGATAGAACTTTATTGATCCCGCAGGAAATTGTTGAATGGATATTTAGTTTCTTATTAATTTAGTTTTAATGCCTACGATTCTTCTGCAGACTTTTATATCTATAACTGCAAGTTAGTGAAACTCCACACTTAAGATTCAGAAAGATACAAACTGTATACTGGTACTAATAAATGTTCACGTGACTTACTGTCTAATTAGATTTGGTCTGTTCTTTACTTGTTACGTAAGTGTCTGACTTCAGATAACAGAAGCACAGTTAGCAGAATAAAATGTCACTTTGGCTGCCTCTGCTCTTATGTCTGATCTTGATTTTAGATCATGCTAATACTCAACAGATGCTATAACCAGTGTTCTTCACACATTGTAATTGTAAGGATGGTTTCTCTGTTAGCACCTGTCTGTTAGAGTAAGATGCAGGAAGGGCAGACAAATGTCGTACCTAAAGAATTAGATAAAAGAGAAATTGCAACCAGCAGATGGAACGATGCCTTCATGGTGTTGTTGTTTCTTACATTGATTTATAGCATCCTGTTATAAGAGAATGATTTAGAGTTTGACATTTCACTTTTGTGTGTGTGTGTGTGTGTTTGTTTGTGAAGGTTCATGTAAAAATGGCTGACGAAGCAGTCTGTGTTGGCCCCGCCCCTACGAGTAAGAGCTACCTGAATATGGACGCCATCATGGACGCCATCAGACTAACAGGAGCACAAGCTGTGAGGAGCTACTTCCTGTAACTTTTATTACATTTTGTCATGTTGAATGTTTTTGTTTCTCATTTGATGAACCTTTAAGTTCAATAACCAGGGATTATTGTTTTGTAAACATTTATATATCTAGTTTTATTAAATATTAAAGTTATGCTTAGATTAAATTTTCTATGAATATTTTGTTCTTTTTAAGGTTCATCCTGGATACGGGTTTCTTTCTGAAAATAAAGAGTTTGCAAAGCGCCTCGTGAGTAACACAAAAGCTTTTGTATTTTTTTTATGCGACATATATCGTAACCTTGCACTTTGTTTTTTAATAAGTAAAACTTTCAGAAAGTACTGGTACTTGAACCTGCATTTTAGTTTCAATTTGACTTCATCCTGTATAGTCCAGGTTAAAAAGAAAGTCCAAACCTTTTCACTTCTAAGCTTTTACATATTGAGCATAAAAAGTGGCCTGGGCTTTACCAGGTTCTTAAAATTATTTAAATTTAACATTAAGTATATAAAAACACAGGGAAGTTCCCCTGGATTGGCAGACCGGGGTGGTAGTCCCCCTATTCAAAAGGGGGACCGTAGAGTGTGTTCCAACTACAGGGGGATCACGCTCTTAAGTCTCCCTGGTAAGGTCTATTCAGGGGTTCTGGAGAGGGTCCGTCGGATAGTCGAACCTCGGATTCAGGAGGAGCAGTGCAGTTTTCATCTTGGTCGTGGAACACTGGACCAGCTCTACACTCTCAGCAGGGTCCTGGAGGGTGCGTGGGAGTTTGCCCAACCGGTCTACATGTGCTTTGTGGACTTGGAGAAGGTGTTCGACCGCGTCCCTCGGGGAACCCTGTGGGAGGTACTCTGGGAGTATGGGGTACTGGGCCCTTTGATACGGGCTGTTAGGTCCCTGTATGACCGGTATCAGAGCCTGGTCCACATTGCTGGCAGTAAGTTGGGCTTGTTCCCGGTGAGAGTTGGACTCCACCAAGGTTGCCCTTTGTCACCGATTCTGTTCATAACTTTTATGGACAGAATTTCTAGGCGCAGCCAAGGTGTTGAGGGGATCCATTTTGGTGGCCTTAGGATTGCGACTCTGCTTTTTGCAGATGATGTGGTTCTGTTGGCTTCATCAGATCGTGATCTACAGCTTTCGCTGGAGCGGTTCGCAGCTGAGGGCGACGCGGCCGGGATGAAGATCAATTCCTCCAAGTCCGAGGCCATGGTCTTGAGCCAGAAAAGGGTAGAGTGCCCTCTCCGGGTCAGGGAGGAGGTCCTGCCTCAAGTGGAGGAGTTTAAGTATCTTGGGGTCTTGTTCACGAATGAGGGAAAAATGGAGCGTGAGATCGATAGGCGGATAGGTGCAGCGTCTGCAGTGAAGCGGGCACTGTACAGGCCTGTTGTGGTGAAGAGAGAGCTGAGTCAAAAGGTGAACCTCTCAATTTACTGGTCGATCTACGTTCCTACCCTCATCTATGGTCACGAGCTTTGGGTTGTGACCGAAAGAACAAGATCTCAGATACAAGCGGCCGAAATGAGTTTTCTCCGCAGGGTGTCTGGGCTCTCCCTTAGAGACAGGGTGAGAAGCTTGATCATCTGGGAGGGACTCAGAGTAGAGCCGCTGCTTCTCCACATCGAGAGGAGCCAGTTGAGGTGGCTCGGGCATCTGGTTAGGACGCCTCCCTGGTGAGGTGTTCCGGACACGTCCCACCGGGAGGAGGCCCAGAGGAAGACCCAGGACACGCTGGAGGGACTATGTTTCTCGGCTGGCCTGGGAACGCCTCGGGATTCCCCCGGAGGAGCTGGACCAAGTGGCTGGGGAGAGGGAAGTCTGGGCCTCCCTACTTAGGCTGCTACCCCCGCGACCCAACCCCGGATAAGCGGAAGAAAATGGATGGATGGATGGATATATAAAAACACACACCAGATTCCACCATGTCTTTATATAGTAAACAAAAATGAAGCAAAAATAGAAAATGTGTGTACAGGAACTAAGCCCACTGTTGCTGCTTTTATCAAATTTAGAGGTTCAGTATGAGCCGGATGCTGCAGATCACCATCAGTGTGACCACCTCTATAACAGAGTTAAAGCAGTTAGCGCTGCTCTGGAGCACACAGGTGTGTTAGCACAACATCAGGGATGGAAGACATCGGCAGTGACCTCAGAAAAGCAATTGTTTCTGTTTTTCACCCTAGAATCGAAAGCGGGTGGACTTTATTTTTCTCATGACTGTACTTACAAGACACAGATGCACCACAAAGTGTCTCTAAATCTCATCTGTCAGGTTGTCAACTTGTTCCTCACACGGAGCCATTTTAATTGATGTAGAAACAAGCAGATGTACCAAAGCCGTTCTTTAAAACTCTTAGTGTAATCTGAAGCGTTGTGCTCTGGTTGCAGTAACACCTGCAGTGTAATTAATTAGTTGCTCTAAATATCACAGTATTATCATTTTGTTGTCAGGCCGCAGAGGGTGTGACATTCATCGGCCCTGACAGTCATTCCATCCAGGCGATGGGGGATAAAATTGAGAGCAAGCTGATTGCTAAGGCTGCTAAGGTCAACACTATCCCAGGATTTGATGGAGTTGTCAAGGTACAGATCCACATACACAACAGAGCATTAAACAGAGAACATTTGAGCATAAAGGATTTATTAATAAAGTAAAATGGTGTTTGGTGAAACTCAGTGGGTTTGTGATGACAGGTAAACCTCCGGATCCTTTTACTGGGTTTAATTCAATTCAGTTTATTTACATAGCGCCAAGTCACAACAGAAGTCATCTCAGGACTGAACAGAAACACTCATATGTCAAAATAATAATTTAACATTATTTATCTGAGGAGCAGACTGCTTTGAATTTAACTCCATCACAGACTCTCATCTTGAGCAAGCATGAAGGAGACAGTGGAAAGGAAAAACTCCCTCATGAGGAAGAAACCTTTAGCAGAACCAGGCTCAGGACAAGTGGCCGTCTGCTTCAACCAGCTGGGTTTGAGAGGAATAGATACACAATGGCAGGTCAAGAATCACATGTTAAGATAGAAATAGTATCAAATGAAAACTATTCAATTTTAACAATTCATTTAAGGATATGAGGTCAATTTGTCCTCTAGTAGTCTAAGCTTATAGCAGCATAACAAACCAACACTAACTATAGGATTTATCGAAAGGAAAGTCTTAATCCCAGTTTTAAAACTGGATAATGTGTCAGCCTCATGGACAGAAACTGGAAGTTGGTTCCACAAGAGAGGAGCCTGATAATTGAAAGATCTGCCTCACATTCTGTTTTTGGAAACTCTAGGAACCACGAGTAAACCTGCAGTCTGAGAGCAAAGTGCTCTGCTGAGTTAGTCAAAATTAAAGCAGTATAATATTAACGTGATGATATAATTTATAAAATAAAACTTGGGGAATAAATAGTGTCAATGATCTATTTAGTCTTAGGCTAATCAATAGCAAACATTGTCTCTGAATTTGAAATGGCAAATAAAGTAAATTTCTTCATTCATAGCATAAGGTTGAATGAATAACACTGAACATCTCAGATGAATAGTACTGTGCAAAAGTCTTGAGTGATCCCTTATTTCTTTATGCTTTTCTTCCAGGGAGTCAGAAGGTATAATCTCTTATTATTGTTTTGATGAATGTTTTCTTAGTCTTCCTGAACGTCTTGAAGTGTTTCTTTGGACATTTGCTGCTTTTTATTAACTACTTTTTGTTATTTTGAGGCAAGTTTTATTCTTAGTCCCCTGACTCTGATCTATTATTTACTTAGTCCCATAAAAAGTCCTAAACACAAGGGATGAACTTGTTTCAACTCCTACACTAACAACTTATCAAAGAACCTGCTTTAATTTCAATCTTTAGGCTCTTTGTTAAAAGTATACTGTCACAAAGACACAATTGGTTCCTATTTTGTTGGTTGAATCTTTGAAAAATACCAAATATAACAGAAATTAATGGTCACAAAAAATGTTTTAGCGCCACCACGATGATTCCCAAAGATCTTTACACACAGGAGAAGAATGATGCATCTCTCAGGTCCTTGGTTCCAGTCTTTGCTATTTTTTATTTATTTATTTATTTATTTATTTTTGTTAAGACTTTCAGATACTGATGGTCTTCTGCTGTAGATGATATTAATTTATTCCTATCACTTCTTCTTTTGTCCTCCACTCAATCACTTTCCTAATTTAAACTGCATAATATGCTGACATGATCAGAGCACAAGAACTGGACTGGAAGTTGTTGGAAAGACTGCTAAAGTCTAAAGAAAAACTACAAAAAAAACCACACAAAATAAGAACAACTATTGATCAAGAGTGCTTTAAAGTTTAACAAAAAAAAAGTTGACTCTTTGAAAGCAAAGTATAAAGAAATGAGGGATAGTTTTAAACTAATATTGGAAAGTTCAGACTTAGATATGTAAAGAACTGAGCAAGGCTGAAGCTTGGATATAGAAAGATGACTAGTTTTCAAGTTTGAATTGAGATTAATAATTTATATAGAGTTTGGTAGGAAATAAATAGAAGGACAATTTGTTATAACATTTATTTTTCATGTAAATTTAAAATGAAGTGGCACCTAATGACATCTGGAACCTGATATTTAGAACAAACCCAAGAAGGTGGCACTGGTTTTTACTGCTGAGGAGTTTTTGTTGAATTTGGGAAAGCAAAATGTCTTGTCACGGCACGATCTGTACCGTCAGCTCATTGGTGCATGCGCTAAAAGAAATACTTTTGAATATACTAGATTTAGGAAAATGTACTGGAAATAATTACTTCCAGCCTTAATAATAAAGATGTGCTAAATTATATATTGTAAGCTGATTTATTACAACACGTATATTATATACATTTTGATATTAATAAAATATATTTATGAAACATACCGTATTTATTACTATTAATTAAATATCTCTTTATATACTTTTGGTTAATTTTCCTAGACAATGTTACAATTCCGTTTATGAATAAGAACTGTCTTCATTTACTGTCAAAATTATAATTCAGTAGAAAAATGTGTATTGGTTGATTGACTGGACTGTAACATTTATGCTGTCAATGTGCCCTCTGATGGACCCATTACTGACGACAGAAGACCTTTATGTTAATAATAGTCATCTTTATGAGATTTACTGTAGAACCCCATCCTCCTGGCATACTTTGCTATCCACATCTCCTGCAACAGTTTTCTTTTCCAGGAAAAACTACTGGTGACAAAAGTCGAAAGACTGAAAATCCATTCATTTTGTGATCTGCAACGTCTAAAGCCCTCCCAGAAGTACAGTATTTCTTTTAGTGCATGCGCAAATGAGCTGATGGTACGGATCGAGCTTCCGGAACAGATTGTGCAGTGACATGTCTAACTCTCACAGCCCCAACAAAATGGATTCACAGCCCATGGGAACAAGAGCTGGTCCACATGAAAATAGATGGGTAGAAACTAAGTAGAAACAGACTTTAAGTCCAAACCTAGAAAACCAAGTTTGAATGTTTGACCTAATACTTTGAGGTAGTGTTGAACATAAATACCTCCAAATTAACAATGCTGTACTCAATAAAGACTTTGTTTTGATTAATTCTTGATAACATCACTTTTTTGTATCAGACTGCAGATGATGCTGTGAAGATTGCGCAACAAATTGGTATGTCCTCGTTATTCTTATTGTCTCCGCATAAAAAATAAACCACAAAAAAGTACTTGTTTAAGTTTAGACTGCACAAGAACTTTCTTTTATATATCTGTGTGCAAAACTTTTATTTTTGTTACAAAGGAACATTTTCATTGTGACCATTTTATTGTTTTCTTTCTAGGCTATCCTGTAATGATCAAAGCCTCTGCTGGAGGGGGAGGGAAAGGGATGAGGATTGCCTGGAATGATGAGGAGACAAGGTATTGTGGATCTGTATTTCTTTGTATTAGAATTATTTTGTGAAGAAAAAACTTAATGTCAAGTTGAAAAAATACAAACTGACTTTCTAATGGACAGCTGACAAACCAGGGCATCATCGCCACCTGATGGACTGGAGTGTAAAACTAGGCGCTTGAACAAAGTTCATGCTCAATAATGCAGGTATACAATCCAACATTTTTCAGACAGGTGACCTGTCTGAAAAATGTTGGATTGTATACCTGCATTATTGAGCATGGAATTTGTTGTTTTCAACCAGTTTGACAAGACTGTCAACAAGGAAGAGGGCCGGCAATGGAGGAGGGGGTGTACCAAAGAGACCATCTTAACACCAACCAAACTGGTTTGTTCCACTTTTGAGTAGGCTGTTGGAGGAAGAATCAGTTTTGTTGTGTTTCCTTGACTGATGAAGCCTTCTGGATCGAAGGCGAAACATTTCAGCACAAAAAAAAGAAACTGTCCAGATGACCATCTGAAAAATGTTGTAGACGCTTGAGTTGAACACTGTTCATTCAACCTTTATTTATACAGGTTAATCCCACTGAGCCTCGGGGACTCATTTACAAGAGAGACCTGATACAGTCGATCCAAAAACACACAGAAAAACATGTTTTAGCAAGGTCACATTGTCTTTTCACACAGAAACATGAAAATCATGGCAAAACTTTATTTATTACTCAATGCTTGAATGATGATGTTTGTGTTTTTTGCGTTTAGAACAGCGTTAGAGTTTCCTGATGCATGCTCAATAATCCAGGTAGAAAAATCCAAAAAAAGTTCAATCTGGTCCTCTGGACATTAAAAAAAACCCCAAAAAAACAAACAAAGCAAAAAATCTAGAAACGTTTCGTCTCTCATCCAAGAGACTTCCTCAGTCTGAGGTGCTGTTTTCAGCTCAGTCTCTTAAATAGCACCTTCTCAGAGTGGATCAACCAGTTTGCTGCTGACAACCAAAACCAGCTGATCACGTGCTCAAGAAGGACCATCAGCCTAACAATGGATCATTAGCACACTGATGGCTGTTTACTGTTCACAGAGGGCTGAGTGATACTAGCAATCACAGCATTGTAAGAGGGGGACAGTTGAACCCGCAGACCGCAGAATCCTGGCCTGATGATGTTTATTAACAACATCAACATCATCAGGCCAGGATTCTGCGGTCTACACTCATCTCCAGGCCAGCGGTCACTCTTTCAAGGATGAAGATGTTCACATCCTGGACAGAGAGGAACGATGGTTTGAGAGAGGAGTAAAGGAGGCCATCTTTGTGAAAAGAAATTGTCCATCATTAAACAGGGGGTACAGCACGGTGGTGCAACTGGTAGAGCTGCTGCCTCTCAGCGAGCAGGTCCCTGGTTCAAATCCCGGTCCGGGGGCCTTTCTGGGTGGAGTTTGCATGTTCTCTCCGTGCATGCGTGGGTTTTCTCCGGGTACTCCGGTTTCCTCCCACAGACCAAAAACATGCATGTTAGGCTGATTGGTAACTCTAAATTGTCCCTAGGTGTGAGTGAGAGAGTGAATGGTTGTTTGTCTCGTTTGTCTCTATGTGGCCCTGTGATGGACTTGCGACCCATCCAGGGTGTACCCCGCCCCTCGCACAGTGATTGCTGGACATGGGCACCGGCGACCCCCGTGACCCAAAATGGAATAAGCGGGTAAAGATAATGGATGGATGGATGTATTAAACAGGGGTGGAGGCCTCCTGGTTCAACTGTCCCCCTCTTACAATGCTGTGATTGCTAGTATCACTCAGCCCTCTGTGAACAGTAAACAGCCATCAGTGTGCTAATGATCCATTGTTAGGCTGATGGTCCTTCTTGAGCATGTGATCAGCTGGTTTTGGTTGTCAGCAACAAACTGGTTGATCCACTCTGAGAAGGTGCTGTTTATAAGACTGAGCTGAATACAGCACCTCAGACTGAGGAAGTCTCTCGGATGAGAGACGAAACGTTTCTACATTTTTTGCTTTGTTTTTTTTTTTTTTGTTTGTTTTTGAATGTCCAGAGGACCAGATTGAACTTTTTTGGAGCGTTAGAGTTTGTGGGTAAAAACATTCACAGATCCCTATTAAATTGTCAATAAAATATCTGTGTGGGCTCATGGTAGAAGTACGGTAGTAATGAATAATATTTAAAACAAAATGGACAAGACTCCTCATTAAGCTATAATGCAGGGTGTTGACATAAACCTTTAGATTCAGGAGTGACTAGATTTTGTCCTGGTTCTGGAATACTGGACCAGATTTTTACTCATAAGGATACTGAATTATTATGGTGTCCTGTGGGGTACTTTAAGAATATGGGTCCAACCATTTGGTCCCTGTACAACCGAAGTGAGTATTGGGTTCACATTAAGATAAAAAGTCAGACATGTTTTCAATAAATTTTGGAAACATTGGTCACCGGTTCTGTTCAGAATGGACAGAAATTTGTACCAAGGGGTGAAGGTCTCCAGTAAAACCTGACCGATATGGAAGTTTTGGCTGTCGCCGAAACTGATATTGAGAGGGGAAGGCGGTCGCGTAACCAATATAATAGCAGATTTTTTTTTTAGCTTTGTCCACCCCAAGAATCTAAGTACCAGTAAACAACGAGTAGAGCGGGACTTGTTTATTTATTGCGGCTGTTAGCTACCATGAAGTTAAACAAATTAGATTCATGCTATACGTAATACCACAGTAGGATTACAAGTGGTGCACTGATCATAAAAACAGTCAGGAAAACTCTATCCTCCATTATTCACCATAAAGTTATCAAATGTGTTACAAAAATATAAATTAAACAAAGAAACACCTTCCCGGTTCATTGTTTAAACAGTCACTCATGTTTGGTGAAGGTCTAATTAAGATTGACCACTGCAGCTTTTTTTTTTTTTTTTTTACAGAGAAGTAAAGATTTCAGACAAAAAACACATTTCATTGAGGTCATCAAAGATAACGTTACTAATACTGATATATTTTACCACTACATTACATTTATTGTTCTGGATAAAGTTTTACAATGCAATTGCCTATGCTAGGTTATCTAAACGTTTGCTAACTTGAGAGGTGTGTAGCTAATGACAAACGGGTTGGATGATTGAAGAGAATTTATTGATTTGTTTTACAGATCAGTTAAAATAAACTTTCCATTGCTCTGTTCAGCAAAATACGCTACATAGTATTGCTCGCTGCTTTGTCTGTGCTGAATGTGAAAGTCAAACTTAAGTGAACAGCCATGACTTGAAAGTAGTCTTCATGTGCCCTCTGCTGGATGCATTGTACAATTACAGCTGGTTCAATTCATTCAACCTTTATTTAATAAACTGAAATTAATTAATACAGGTTAGTCTCATTGAGCCACGAGGGCTCATTTACAAGAGAGACCTGTTTTAAACAAAGAACACAGATGAGGTACAGACCACAACAGACAATCATATAAATGCATATAAAATGAAAGGTAAATAAAATAAATACATTAAAAACTAAACAAAATCAAAAATGGCTACATTATAAAGCAATGTACAATACTAAAAACAAGAACATGTCTGCATTGGTTTGCTTATATGGATTTCCTAAAATCCACTAAATAGGAACCACTCAGACCCATTGTCTTATATAATGTATAAAACATATATTTTAAATCATTGTGCTGTTAATTTAGCTCCTCTTGTTGGAAACAACACATCTCAGAGAAATCATGGACTTCCATAGATGGTTCCAGTATTTTAGGGGTGAAAATTAGAAGTGCTTATATCGGCACATAATGGGACAATTGTCACCAATATCGATAGGTCCCCAAACATCTATTGGCCTAAATTATCAGCCCTACCAATATATCGGTCGGGCTCTAGTCTCCAGTTTGTGGGGCTTCAGATTTAATTTCTGATTTTTGTAGATCATATGGGTCCTGTTGGCTTCATCAAGCCAGGACTTGCATTGGAGCCATTTGCATTTGAGTTTAAACCAATAGAGATGAAGATCAGCACCTCCTAGACTGAAGCCATAGTCTTCAGCTGGGAGAAAAGATGAATTGCTAATTTTGGGCTGGGATAGAGCCACTGCACCAAGTGGAGGAGTTTAGGCATCTCAGAGTTTTGTTCACAAGTGGGGCTAGAGAGGAGAGGGGCAGGGAGGGGGGAAGGAAGGGTGGAGCAGGAGAATGATAGGTGGATTGGGATGCTGTCTGCAGTGATGCAGGAGCTGTACTCATCTACTGTGAAGAAGTGAAAGCTAAGCTGAAACACAAAACTCTCAGTTCTCTGAATCGTATCTACATTTCAGTGAGATCTGGGTCATGACCAAATGAATGAGGAAGAGCCGTCTTCAGTGTGACCAGACTGGGATAGGGTGAAAACTTCAACTGTTTAGGAAAAGCTCAGTGTAGAGTTGCTGCCCCTCATTGAAAAGAGCCATTTGAGATGGTTTGGACATCTGGTATGGATATCTTCCAAATGCCTTCCACCTGAGGGTTTCAGACATCTCCCACTGGGAGGAGACCCTAGAAAAGGATCTGTGGCCTACAGAAGAGATGTTATCATACAGCTGGCTTGGGAACACCTGGGAACTGGATAAAGGAGGTAGTTGGGGAAAGGAGGTTTGGGGTCCCCTGCTTAAGCTGTTGCTTCCCAATCCTGTCAGATAATTAGCAAAAATGGGAAGAAGGAAGGAAAGAAAAAGAATAATTAAACTATATTTGTTTCCTTTCAGGGAAGGTTTCCGTTTCTCCTCCCAAGAAGCATCATCCAGTTTTGGAGATGATAGACTATTAATAGAGAAGTACATAGACAACCCCAGACACATAGAGATTCAGGTAAGCTATCATTACTCCCAGTTCTGATATGATTTATTTTAGATCAGAAGGTTTAGGAATCAGTGAAGCAAAAATCAGTCTTTGTTGTTTTGAATGAAAGTACAGTATGTTCTTTGATCGTACTGTCTACAAAAGATAGTTTTACCAAAGAAGCACTTCAAATAAATTCAAAGCATAGCTTCAGGATTTCATCTTCTGCTCTACTTAAATTCTAAGAGTTAGAGAAGAAGGACCAACTTATGGCGCTTTGCCACTGTCTCAACTCTCATCGGTTCCACACTACACCAGTTAAGGATCTGCCCAATACCAGTATCCACCCCATCTCTGTTTGGTTTGTGGGTCCACCTTGTCTGTGGTTCCAAGCAACTATCTCTGATGTGACAATTTGGATGTAAGCAGGCAGCAACCATTGATCGGCCAGCGGAGATATGTTACTGGATAACCCACTCGGCAAAACTGCAAACTACATCTGAACCTCCATTTCCTCTCTGATCATGTTGACGGACAGCACCACAAGAAATGAGCACATTTATAGAGTTATCGGAGATGATGGTGCAGCATGGCTACACTCAGTCTTATAAGCAGTTTTGAGCTAAAGATAATGAAGTCTGATTATAGGGCGATTAAGGACCACAATGGGCAGAGTGGCTCGAACACAATGACATGTTACAATATCGTCCACTTTGCATTGATGACCACAAAGCAGAGTAAACGAGTCACAGTGGCAAATCGCCTCCACCTGAGAAGATCTGATAAGATGAGAGCCGAGTGGAGTCGCACTCTTCAATGGAAAAACAGCCGAAGGTAGTTTTTCCCAGTTCCAGTCTTCTGGGCACATTGCCCTTCAAGGCTGATGTCTTCTTGTTCAACATAAGACAGGATCAAAAAACATTACTTTTCCATACAACTCATTTAAACAATCTCTGCTCATTACTCTAGTCACAAATGTTAATTAAACACTTGGCTGATAAGAAAGACCAGAAGAAAGCAATTCAAACATTTTAACTCATTTCCATATTTATCAAACGAGATGAAAAATTGTTTATATCTTTATAATGTGTTGCTTTTTATTGCGATACAAAGGAGAAAGCACGACTTGTGTACAGTAATGTGTGTTTGTTGTAGGTGTTGGCTGATAAACATGGTAATGCTCTGTGGCTTAATGAGAGAGAGTGCTCCATCCAGAGGAGGAACCAGAAGGTTGTGGAGGAAGCTCCCAGGTATGTGAGACAGGAGGGGCTTTATTCATGCTGTTGACTGTCATGAGGTCCAATACTGCTGGTTCAGTGTTCAGTGTGGCACTGTGGGTACTCAGCAGTGTTTCAGTGCAGCTCTACATCTAAACTATAACTAGCACTGAAGTTACTGAACATTTATAGTTTCTGTTATTTTATATAAATTTACCCAAGATGCACCAGTGAGATAGCCTGACTTTGTTGTTTTGTTCTTCAGTACCTTTCTGGATCCAGACACTCGGCAGGCCATGGGAGAGCAAGCAGTGCAGCTGGCCAAAGCTGTGAAATACTCCTCTGCTGGAACAGTGGAGTTTCTGGTGGATTCAAAGAAAAACTTTTACTTCCTGGAAATGAACACACGACTTCAGGTGGGTGGGGAGGTGTCGTTTTTGACAGGAGGTTTTATTGAGGTGGTGATGCACAATTACCGTAATTGCTGAGCTATAGAACACACCTGACTGTAAGCTGCACATACTAAATTTAAGATAAATCATAATTTTGTACATAAATAAGACCTGGCAGTTTTTAAGCCACATGTATCCATGTTTCATTATCAGAATCTGTGCATTATGTGCAGCTCTTGTGTTAGTACAAGAATCATCCACCAGATGTCATTTCATAGACTACGGCTTGGTGATCATCATAAGTCTTCATGATGCTTCGCTGTCTGACTCATGGTTAAAACCATTCAACATACAGAACGAACACGAGAACTATCTAAACATAATCAATGGACAGAACAGTGCCAAACACCTATGTAACCAAAATTATTTAAAAATTATATACCTGTCAATTTTACCCAGAAGTCTTATCAATGTCATGTGACCAGGAGTCACATGGTACCGATAAAATACAGTAAACATTCATTAAATCATTGATTTTTATTGCTAAACACTTTTGGTAACAGCTGCTGTTTTTAAATGTTCTTTCTAAATAAATTAGATGTGATTTCTGCTCAGCAGAGCCTGGAGGAGGAGGAAGGGGGGAGAGCCCCTCCCTCTGTTTGTCTCCTCTGCTCCGTTTCATGCATTCGGATGTGAGTTTAAATAAGATACTGGTATTTAAACATTTTCCAACCCAGAAATATGAATCACAGAAATAATTTAAAAACTTTTATTAAAATATGTACCAGACTTGACTGCTTGAAAAATACATTTTGACGACTTCTGCTCAGCGGATCCATGTGACCCACGAGGAGAGGAATATCCTGTAAATGTTTTTTTTTTGTTTTTTTCAGAAAAAAGCTTTTAACACTGCTAAAAAAAATTAAAGTACCAGTATTTAACAAAAAGTCACTCATCACTATGTTCTTCTCCTCGTGTGCACTAAAGTCCTCTTTGAGGCTCAAAAAAACATCATCACACACCGCTACCATCTCGCTCTCGGCAGCTCTTTCTTTCTTAGACAGCCAGATCGATCGCTTACTTGAAAGCTACATCATAAGAAATTCTCTGTGCGTTTTCCATTATTGCTGCAGTTGAACGTGTCTGTGCATGAGGCACAAAATAAGGTAACGATCTGAAGAAATGAATGCACTTCTATCTTGAGGGATGGGTCAACGACAGCACCTCACTGGTCATTAAGGTTAGACTTCGGGTCACATGACAGAGTGGGTGGAGTTACTGTAGGAAATTTGAAACCCTGAGCGAGAGTCTTTGTACATGTGATTACCTGAGGCATTCACTCTGTCACAAAAGCCCTCAGCTCTGTTGAGGGAAAATGTTATTCAGTGGCAGGAAGCTGCGAAGAGCAGGAAGGAAGTCTGTCAAAATAAAATAAAATAATTTTAAAACATACACAAATTATTAGTAGCGGCTTGTACACCAGCAATTACGGTAGTCAAACGTTTGTGTTTATGTTGCATTACATTTAAAAACTGTCTTTCTGAGCTCTACTCTGAGTTTATTAATGTTCCGCTAAATTGAAACACTTCTACTTTGGGAGAGGCCTTCTATAAGATGTAACAGTTCGACTTAACTTATGTTGAGCAAAACACCTTTCCAAGAAGCTTTTCAATCAGATATGAGTGCAAAAGTCTCCACACACCATTTTCACTAATACTTGGTGTTCTTACACACGTGTTTGACATGATTTTCACAAAACATATCCGTGAAACAATAATTTTGTACTATAAATGTATACATGCAATATATAGATATAAACACAGCCTTTATGTTGCCATTCTGGAAATAACCAAGAACAGTTGATTTTTTTTTCTTGTACATTATTTGATTTGGGGTCATTCATGCCTTTAATTTGGCCATTGGACACAGAACGAACGCTGTAGCTCACAGTTACATTCAGCAACAAAAACATTTATCACCTACTGCAGACTGGGGCTATATAAAACAAATCTTCACAAGGACTGAGACATCTGCAGTGGGCACCAGAGGGCATCAGTAGTTGCATCGCAAGTTGAAATTGTTATCAGGAAGTTGCTGGAGCCTGCAACTATCAGTCCAATCTAAAAGAGGTCAACAGATTCAGAGGATGCCTTGTAGATGCATAACACCACATTACCAGCACTTATTGAACTTGGATAAGGGTTACGTTGTGGGTTTGCACGAGGCTGGTGGTGGTATCACTTGTGTTCAAGAAACTTGTATTTATTTATTTATTTTTTCTGTTTAAATTTTAACCCTAGGTGGAGCATCCAATCACTGAGTGCATTACTGGCTTGGACTTAGTGGAGCAGATGATCAGGGTTGCCAAGGGTTACCAGCTGCAGCACACACAGAAAGACATCCCAATAACTGGCTGGGCCATTGAGAGTCGTGTCTACGCAGAGGTTTGTGAGTGTTTAATGGCTCATCAGAGATGATTTGTAACAAAACGCAAAGCAGCAGCAGCTGGAAGTGAGCTCATTCTAAAAGAGTTGCAGTAACCAAACTGCTGATACTGAATTAATACTTAAAGTTGAATAAATTTGTCTAGGACCAACATTTTTAGGTCATTTGGAAAGAGTAGCTAAAATAATAAGTATGGTATAAAAAAGGTCTTACAAGCCCCTTTATCTCTCTCATAGTGTTTGTGAAAAAGTTGTCTATGTAATTGTATGGACTTTTAAGGTTTACTGTTCAAATGTACAAGAATAGAGTAAGAAAAGTTCAGACAGAAACATTGTTTTACATCAACTTTCTTCTAATGACAGAACAGTGTATATATA